CCCTCACCCCAGGAGGGAGCGAGCCCCGGCCCCGCCCTGGCCCCGCCCCGCCCGCTCTCAGCGCCCTCCGGGCTGCACCTGGTCCGGCCCCTCTGCTGCTCACACCGCGACAACTGCGCACTGGCAAGGCTGCGCCCTCCCCGTCTCCCACTACCAAGGCTGCCCAAGGAGCGGTTACAGCGCCTGCAGAACCCACGCGGACAGAGCGTTCTAGGTATCATTCAAGAAGAGGAAAAGCAGGATGAAATCCAACATTTTAATTTCGATATAAATTATGTAAATATTTTCCAAAAAGTAAAATATTCTACCGTACAACATATAAAAATGGTATCTGAGGAGCTGGAGACAATACTCTGAAAATAAGGCACAACGTTTATTTACACTCATAATTGCATCCTATTTTATAAATCGTATTTACATCATAAATTTTTGTATTCTGGGTTATTCGTTCACATTTTCTGCTATTTGGCATAATGTTCAAACATACTTCACACGCACTGACCTCCTTGTTCTCCCTAAAGCACTGACAAGCCTAAATATTAGGGGGAAACAGAGCATGCTTTTAGGCTTGAACTTTTGTTTACTTCAATATGACCACGATTCAGTTGCTTGTGATAAAGTGTAAAGAATTATAAAAACGTAATTCTCCAGAAAAGTATATTAATTCTGTATAAGTACCACTGAGTACAACTAACTGAGTGTTGAGTAGCTATCTGATTGGCAGGTGGCTCCTATGTCCCATCACTGTCCCATTCCTCTATTATAATGTTGTCTTCTTCCATATCAGCTTTCCAGGAAGAGGGCCAAAGCTGGCTGGCAGGCAGGTCACTCCCGCTGTTCTGACTCAAAGGAATTGACCAGGTTTCCTCTTCTGCAGTGTGAGCAGCTTCAGCAGGCACTTCCTCTGCTGGATGTCCTCCACTGAGGTGTGCTTCATCTCCATTGTCGTGGTCCATCAATCCATGCTCCCTATCAGTTAAGGCCTCCATTTTCAATCTGTGGGATTCACAGGGCAGATAGTAATAAGAATAGGGGATATCCTTAAGTTACATCATGAGTATGATTATGATGAAGCTACTCTCTAGTCTGATTCAGCTTAATTGCACTGTTCAGCTAGCAAGATTAGTTTAACTATGTAAAAAACACTACAAGGTAAATGACCAACAATGAATAAAACCTTAAAGCTTGAAATATAAAAAGGATTAATGGGGACTGGGAAGGTGGCCCAGTGGTAGAGTGCTTGCCTTACATGCATGAGGCCCCAACATTTTAATTTTAATATAAATTATGTAAATATTTTCCAAAAAGTAAAATATTCTACTTTACAACATATAAAAATGGTATCTGAGGATACCTCAGCACCACATAAGCAGAAAAAGCTGGAAGTGGCACTGTGGCTCAAGTGGTAGAGCGCTAACCTTCAGCTGAAGAGCTGAAGAACAGTGCCCAGGCCCAGAGTTCAACCGACCAAAAAAAAAAAAAAAAAAGATTAATGTCTTTGATAGAGTTCTTACAGATTAAAAAGGAAAAAAAAAACAGAGCCTACAAAATACTAAATTGTTTAACCTCATTTGTAACTTTAAAGGTGGAAAATAATATACTTCTATTGTTATCTTACAAACTAGTGCAGATACTTTCAAAGTAATAAAACCCAGTCTGTTGTTAGCAAGGTTAAAAGAAAAAGAACATACTAACATAATGTAAGTGTATAAAACTGGCAAAATGTTCTTGGAAGCAATGTGGCTATATAGAGCAAAATTCTCTAAAAGGAATCCACTTTTAGAGGCAACACTTTCCTTTCTAGGACTTCCTCCTAGTAAAGATCTGACCGCTGGTACATCACCCTTATAGTAACATTAAAAACATTTTGATATTCACAGTAGTTTATGTACAAGGCTGAAAAGAAGCTAAAGGCACCAGAAATTAGGTGTAAGCTTAATTACAGGAAATTATATACCTATTAAGTTAAACACTATTTAAACACTGATACTAAATTTTATGAATATGAACTAGCGATGTTAAATAGTCAACAAAAATTAAAGATAACAGTACTAGTTATTGTAATAGGAAATATGGAGAAATCTCTACTCCCAAATCACATAAAAAAAGCTGAACTAGTAATTATATGAAGATTCCCATTCATTTACTCCTCATCTCAGAAATAATTGTAGAGTAATTAAATGGAGTAATTAAACGGAGCCGGGGACAAAATTCAGAGCCTATCACCAGCTCTACTTTTTTTTAATTTTTAAAATTTTTTTGAATTTGACCTCACAATTTTATTGTCTTATAACAAAAGTTGGAGCTTAGAACTGGATCACTTGCCCCTTTCTCTTTTTATCTCCACCCAGTTCAAAATGTTTGCATCTCTATTTAATAGCTAGCATTCTCTTAGATCTACAGCTGGGCTCAACACATTCAAGTCTCAGCACAATCTTCTTTGTAGTTTCAGCTTTTTTCCAGAAAATTGGCTTAGTCTGACTGCCATAGCCACTCTGCTTCCTGTCATAACGACGCTTTCCCTGGTCTTACAGAAAATCCTTGCCCTTCTTGTACTGTGTTACTTTGTGAGGTTGGTGCTTGCCACACTTCCAGAAATTTTGGTGGGTTTTAGGAACATTAACCATGATGGCAGGAAGCCTGCAGTGGCTCCAAAAAAAGCAAAAAAAAAAAAAAAAGCTCTATTTTTGTTTTATTGAGACAAGGTCTCACTACATAGTCCAGGATGGACTGGAACTCTCCATCCTCTTGCTGACTTCAAGTGCTGGGATTATATATCAGTGTTAGGATTACACTCATGAGCCTCCACACCTCCTTGCCCAGGCTGATCCTTTTATTTTAACATTACAATCTTGAGGCGGGAAGTAGCCAGCAAGAGAACTGGTCTTCTGATTCAGAGATATATGAAGAAAAAGGCAAAGTTTATAAAGGGTCTGCTCACATCCCAGTGCTGTAGTCAAATCAGATAGATATAGCTGATGGATGGCCCACAAGTCAGGTAGGATGCTTTACGATCCATCTCTAATAGGCAGGAGGCGCTGAGCAGGAGGTGCTGCAGTAGCTACAACCTCATGAAGAAGAAGAAATTAGCACCACAAAGTCTTTACAGACTGGATGAGGTAGGAGGAAGAAAAGAGCTCAGACAGCAAGAAATTTCTTCTTGGGAAAGGAACAGGAGAAAAGATAGCAGGGCTATATAAAAGGTGTCACTTCTAACAATTACCTTTGCCCCTTTTCAGTTAGTAAGTACTCTTTTTGTTTTTTTGGTCCTGGGTTTGAACTCTGGGCCTGAGTGCTTTCCGGGAGCTTTGTTTTACTCAAGGCTAGTGCTCTAGCATTTGAACCATAACTCCACTTCTGGCTTTTTCTGAGTTTATTGGAGATAAGAGTTTCAAGACCTTTCTTGTCCTGATGACTCTGATCCTCAGATCTCAGCTCCTGAGAAGCTAAGATTACAGATGGGAGCCACCATCTACACACACACACACACCCAC